TTTTTTTTGAGGTCATCAAAACACTTTCCGTAGATTAAACTTTGTTTCTTTTGAATTCAAGAAATAAGTTATCCGCTAGACTTGTCCGAACAATTTAGACTCACATAGAATTTTGACACAATCACGGTGATCAGCGAGGTTTTTATTGTGGTGATGTTTAGCACTCCGAGTATTATTGGGATAATGAAAGCCATGAACTCTCAAAAATGACTGAGATTGCTGAATGTACTAATCCATTGCTCGACTTTTATTATTCCAGAGATTACTCAAAACATTTAGGTTTGATAAACTGGTAGCTGGTATGTGCATGGGTGAAATCGTGCGCCTGGTATTGGTGAAGCTCTGCAAGCATAAGGTCTGTGAATGTTCTTCTTTAAAACTACTTTTGAATAATCACCTGTCAATGATAAGTAGATGAAATTGAGTTTAGGTGCTATTTAATGGAATTGAGTCAAAAATATTGTCTACCATTGGATCCTTCCCTACTAAGTATATTTCTGAAATTCTCCAGTAAGTTTCAAGTTTAATTTGGAAGAAATTCTGGAAAGTTACAACGCTGATTTACTAGCTGTCTTTTTGTTAGGTTTTAATATAAACTCCTTACAGCGATGATTGCGGATCGTATTCAAATACGAGGCAAATTATGGATGAATTGGGTGTTGATGACTACACTTTCTCGGATATGTTGCTATTCCGAGAAGTTTGTTTGGTTGTTTCTCGAAGGAGTGCCAATCTTGGTGCTGCAGGTAATCACAAATATTCAGAAAATTTTTCTTTTTCTGAAAAAAAGTTGTCATAACAATAACAATTAGTTAGGATTGCTCTGATAAGAGATCGGTTTTCTCTTGTTTCCCTCCTTCAAACCTAACTAAATTTCTTTTTTAGCAATTGCTTGCGTTTTGAATCGAGTACGGCGGCCAAAGATGATTGTTGCCATCGACGGCAGCACCTACAAATACCATCCCTTCTTCGATCACTGGGTCACTGACAAGGTTAAGGAATTGATTGACCCAGGACTTGAGGTTGGTGCGAGCATTCCCCTTTAACTAGGAATCGTGAAAATTGCATAAAAGAGTCCGCCTTGCCATAACTGCACTTCTTCCCGAGAAGTTTTCGAAGTAACTTTCTCCTCAGTCGGAACTTTCTTTGAGATTCGGAGCATCTACTCATTTTTCTTATCTTACAAGCGACTAACGAGATCAGTCTCCTGGTGAATATACAGGAGGATTTCAAATAATCCATTTTGCATTCTTTAATTTTTTCAATAATTTGTACAAGAAGCGCACACTCTCCTTTTTTTCAATGAAAAATTCGTTTCGGAATTTTGAAGGACTTTGGTGGAGAAAATTTTAAACTTTATTCATTAATTTGGTATCCTCGAAACTACCTAGTTTTGTAAAGAGATTCTCATGCACGGTCAGGCGAAGCGCAGATCATGTATGCGTCCACCAAGACTTTTGCCACCCCATGAGGAAATCTCTAAGGCACCCAATGTTTTGCCGATAGGATGATTTGACTACAGTTGCTTAAGAGAAAATACCTGCTATTGTGAACTTACACACAGATTTCTGCAGAACACCACATGCAGCCAGTTTTCGCTTAGAGAATTTTGGGCTTTTCATTG